ATAAGTGAGGGGCCTTATGTCACTTGCCCGGAGGAACAGCAAATCAGACATGTGAGCCTTGATTCATATCAGGCGATTTGTAAGCCCAGCACTTGCCCCTGCCCCCCCAGACTGTGCTATCCTCCCTGGGCTTCAGCAAGAGACATGTTTCAATACTGATGTAGCCACCATCTCCCTAAGGGTCACCAGAGCTCATGGTTTCTTGCCCGTGGACCAAATGCCAAGATGGCAGCCTATCTCATCTCCACTCTTTTCAGGTGAATTACCACATCCTTCCTTGAACCCCAAACCATTCCTTTGTCAAGGAACATCCCCCCCCCCACACCCACCCCCCGACCCCAAAGAACTCAGAAACATGACTTTTGTCTCTTCGCAACTCAAAACTCAGACTAAAATAAGCCATATCCTTTATTACTTCTTTAATCAACCACGTCTTCATTCACTTAGTTCAACTCACATTTAAGGACTGATTTTGTCTCATTTATATGTATTGGGTCGATCTTCTATCTCTCTGGTAAAAGCTAGTACCTTAAAGTTGTCCATTCATCTACGGAACTGCACACGCCTCTGTTTGGATTCAGCTGTCAACGCTTCGCGCATGTGAAATCAGCCCGTGTGATATTAAGGTAAACATTGTGCATTACAAACTGGTGGACATTTTATTGTTCGAACTGGGATAACAGACAAAATGTTTGCACGTGTGTCTGTTTTCTCTGCAGAGTGCAGACAATAATACAATATACATAACGGTATCTGTTTTATAAAAGAGGAATCAAATTACAAGAAGCGGTAAAAGCGAGGTGGGGGTGCGGTGGAAGAATGCTGCATGTTTGGAGATTCTAACAGGACAGTGGGGGCAGGAATTACGTGTAGGGTAAAGATTCTTACGAGAAAAACTGTCATTCCTGATGTCACTTTCCCCTCATTATTCTTATAATCTCATTTCCTAATTGCATGTGCTACACAGCCAGTCTTCACAATGCTTTCATGGGGCAGTCTGTTCCTTTAGTTTTAAGAACAGTCAATTCTCTTGCGCTGAGAAAAGAGCACACGGCCTTTAAGAGCATTGTAACTGACAAGACGGAAGGCTTCGGGCAGGATGTCGAGGCTGAGGCTTTTCAATCACCTGTCATTAATATGATTCAATTTATGCTTATGTCATAGGCTTAGACATTGCACAGTGCTGTAAAGCGGGGAAGGGACTTGAATAAAATACAGGGAAGAAAGCAGATGGTACGCTATCAAAACCCTTCAAGCCTAAAATAACCTTTCCCAAGTAAGGAGGATAGTTAATTAAAACCAGGATATATTTACTCAATTCTGAATATCTCAAAGTAAATAAAAATCAAAATGATACCACTGTAATGTGGGACTAAATGATGAAATTTCATCTATTCTATTTTTCTTTAATAGTTTCTAATCAAACTTTTCATTAAACAGCTTCATAAAATTCCACAGAGAATTTATTTATAGGGATTCACTGTAGATTTAAAAGCCTTACTTTTATTATTCAATTAAACTTGTTATTCAGTGGACAACATTGAAACAATGGGGGGGAGTGGGGAGGGGGGAGGTGTCTGAGCAGTTGGGAAAGGTGGTCACACAGAGAAAATGTGGCTCATCCTTGCCCAGGAAAGCCCAGTTCCATTTCCAGAGGCACTGCCTGGGATTGTCCCAGCCTTGGTCCACAGACTCAAATTCATGTTCCCCTGGTAGAGAGGGCACCAGACCATTTATTAAGGGTAAACAAACCTAGGGGAGGCCAACAGCTGACCCACGGTGAAGGCAGCCATTCCCAACATGGAGAGTCAGGACATGAATTATAAGTGACCCAAAACTTTTCTATTAGCCTTTCTCCCTTATTTTTTAAAACCAGACCCAGTCCTGCCTTTTTCATGAAGCTTTCCCTGACCCCTCTCATGATCACCCCCACGTGCCCCCATCCCCACCAGCTCCACTGCTAAATTCCTCCTGCGCTTGCTTTCTACAACACTCACCGGATACTTAATCATTGACTTTCTTGTAACATTAGTTAACATTTCAGGTGCGTTAATCCTGTCTTCCCCAATTAGATTTTTAAATCCTCCAAACAAGAAAGAACTGTGTTTTATTTATCTTTTGAACACCCTCTTCCGCCCCCCTTCCATAATCCCATTTAATAGAAGAAAGCAAAAAATATATTAGTTAATAAAATAAACATTATTTAATCATAGGAAAGCAGACACTGTCCTTTTGCGAAGGGCCTTGCAGGTACTTTATGGCAATTTATGAATTTCATGTGTCAAAAGTGTAGCTGCTAAATGCTATAAACTCTTTGCCATCAGGTCCACCATTCATCCACCTGGTGATACGGCTAATAAAATTTGATTTTTACAGCCTAGGCATACTGTTACCTAAATTACATTTGATCAATTACTGAGTCGCCAAAAGTGTGGTACAGAATATATACTGTGCAGAAAATTCATCTGTGGGCCCCCTGGCACCCGCGGTAATCTGACAGAAGTGTTTTGGTCATCTGGCAGTGTTTCATATTAGGAACATTTGTTTAATGCTAGTCACTAATTAAATTTATGTTCTTCTACCAACTGTTAGTTGGTTGGAGAAACCCAACCCCACGTTTTAACAAACCCTTTCACCCATGTTGATTTCAAATACAACCAGTTGGAGGTTTAAAAGGGTGTTCTCTGGAAATTTAGTTGGAGGACCAAGAGTGGAAGGTGGGGGAGGGATGTTGGCGAAGGTGTTCAAATCAGGTCAAAAATAAGCTTTTTTTTGGGGGGGGGTCACTTACTATAAAACAAAATACTACATGAAGTGCAAACTATTTGAAGTACAAATTCCATAAAAAGAAAAACCTAATATTCTAATTATTAAACTAACCATCTAGAAGCTCTTTAAAGGTACCTTTATTCCAAAAGAAAGTTTCCACTTTAAGAGGCTGGAGAAGAAAAACAGCATTAAAATTAGCTTTACCAGAAGAAAAGTTCAGGAAAACATTCAAAAGTCAGATGCCTGTGTTTGTGGAGAACATTTAAAACTAATTTAGTAACTCTTAACAACCATTGTGATCACTGTTAAATTGGAACTTCTTTCTATTACCAATTCCAGACGCAACAGCTTTGAAGCTCAATGACTAATAACTCTTAAATTAGCCAAAAAGGTTAAAACATTTTTCATTATGTTACATTATGATACCCTAACTCTGACTACTCTTAAATGAGGGAAAGCATTCTTTCAGTTTTATTTTGTGTCAGGAATTTACAGACCTCTTGAGTGGCAAGCAGGACAGAGGGTTTGGGAGTAGGGGATATGCGAGAAAAAAACAAAACAAAACACAAAAACACTCTGAAAACAGAAATTAAACACCCTGAAATTAAAAAGGGATGATTTGTAAATGCAGATCTGGAAAGAGAGGGCATTTTTTGAAAAGACACATTGGATTCATTCACCTACATGACTACAACAGTTGAGTATTAAAAATATGACACTAAATTCTTCTTGGAAGTAGGAATAAATAACTTGTATAAAGGCTGCTGTTCTCTTCTAGACTGACCGTCATCTGGTAAGGCAGAGTTGGGAAAGGCATCCGAAAAAAAGTTTATAAGGAAAAAGATGCCATGTCTGATGAACCAAGGTCCCCTTCCTCTTTCTCCCCTTCCTTCTTGGATCATCTCTTCATGACACTCTTACTTACAAGCCCTCTGCAGCAGGTAGGGGCTGTTGGGTTGCAAATAATCAGAGTACGGAGGCCACAGTGGATTTCCCAAACCACGCTGAGGCCTGTGACAATTAAGCAGAAAAATCTGAACCTGAATAATCCACAAACTGGGGAGGCTTGGGAAAACCTTAACTGACAGAATCAAGGACTGTTCCGATATTCTGACTCAAAGTGACCCCATCAATGCTCTCTCTGGGCCATGGGTCTCAGCCTCTTGTCCTCCCAGATCCCCAAGAGAAGATTTCAGCATGGGTCAACCATCACACTGGTCACGCCAGGGTGGCCAATCCCAAAGCAGGGGGTAGGGGGAGGTTGGGGGGGTTCTCATGCCTCTGTAAGTACAGGAATTTCCAAGGAATATGTCTAGCTGGATAAAGCACCCCCAGGGTATTCTGATATCCTTGCCCAGCCTGTTGAGAACCACTGATATGATCCAATCTCTTCAACAAACAGATGAGAAACTGAAGATGTGAGAGATGTGAGCCTGGCTTGCCTCCAGCCATTCACTGCGTCATGCAAAGTCTCCCAAACCTATGATATATCTTCGCCTGTGCGTCTATCTATAGAGACACATGACCGATCAGCTAGGAGAGATGCAGACAAAATTATGTGTGCATACATCCATCTTTGGGAGGTGTAGTTATAAAGATATATATATATATCTATATATCTATATATATATATAGATATATATAGATATCTGAATATAGATAGATATATAAATATCTATACATATTTTTATACACTGTGCCCACCAAAGATGGATATATATGTGTATCCATACATGTACAAGAAAAAATTAAGGGGCGTAGGGATCTATCATCAATCTTTTTGTTCACCTTATAGTACTGAAGTGGTTACAATGTGTGTGCATTTTTATAGTTCCTTATCACATTGTAAAGAGAGAGATCAGTTAAAAAAAAAAACAAAACAACAAAACAAGCCAGTATCTGAATAGTCAAAGCCTTTTAAGAAAGAACGAACATGAAAGCTTCCTGTCCTAAAGTCCAATTTCAAGGTCGACCAAGCAACTTCAGACCCTATACTGAACAACAAATTCTAAATAATCACCCTTGACCCTAGCAAACAGAGGCGGCCCAGGAGGCAATGGTGCTTTATGCCATGACAATTTGGGGGAGGGGAGGGGCGGGTGAAAATAAGTGAAAGGAGGAACTGGTGAAAATAAGCCTTGCTCCCCATCGCAGCTCTGCACAAGAACCCAAAACAAGGAAACGCACACACATGCACAAGTTTCATGTAGGAAAACGAACAAAAGACTCACCAAACTCATCGCATATACTCTCATTTTCAATGAGAGTTGGGTGGTCGAAGGTGTCCCGACAGTACAGGATCTGAGGGTTCTTGCTGACCACAGCAATGCCCCCCAGGGCTAGCGCGAACTGGTCCGTTAGAATGGAAGATGGTTTATCCTGGATGCGCTTTAGCATCGATCTGTACCGGCAGTACTGAGGGTAGCTGAGCACGATCACGTTCGTTTCCTCCTCGTCCTCCCCTAGACAAAAGAGAAAACACTTCCGTTACCCTCTTGCCTCCCACAGAGAACCATCATGGCCCTGGCCTAATTGCGGTGGTCACTCTGTTTTGTCATGAAAACGTGTCTTCCGTGAGACCCTGACACCGGTTCGTCTTTCTCCCAGTCGGGGAACGCCAGCATTCTCCCAGCCCCATCTCACCACCCCGGTTCCACTAAAGGGACCTCTGGTTTCCGGCAGGGAAGAGGAAAGGTGGAGGGAAGAAAGAGTCGGGGCGAACCCTAGAGAAAGATGAAGCAAGGTTTGGGTCATCAGCAAGCAGCAGAACCAAAAAACTTTTTCCAAGGGTCTGATATATATATATTTCAAGCATTAAAGTCATCATCACAGGAAAAATTGGAATTTTGTTGAGCTGCTTTCTACATATTTCCAGTGCTCTTTCTTTAGACTGTATAATCTTTCAGTGCTAGAAGGCCCTGGAAGGGTCCTCTGGCCCCAGAGAGATGACCTTAAGTTCAGATAGCGGCATCAACTAATCTGGTGGTGGTTATGGCTGTCGACAAATATTTCTGGTTCTTTATGGTCTTGTGGGAAGACCATGCATGCCTCCTGTCCCATGGCAGTCAAGTGGCCCTGTGACTTGTTGGGGCCAATAAAATAGGACAGAAGTGAGTGGTGACTTTAGGGGCCAGTGTCTGACTGACAACACTCTCTCTTTCTCTTTGTCCTGCACACCTGTAATGATTCAGAGAGTGGCTGAGCTGCCACTCGGGGTCTTAGAGCAAGAATCACACGGAGCAGAGCCCCTTGTTGGTCGGAAATGGACACAGAACACAAGCACAAAAGAAACCTTCCTTGTTTTAAGTGAGGCTGTGATCTGGGGGTTATTCGTTTTTGCAGCATGATCTAACCCGGCTTGATCGATCCATCCACTGCCCCTGCCCTCCCCCCTTCCCATGCTCCCTATCTTCTAATGTGCCTCAAACCCATCTGGTAACTTGGCACAACTCTGAGAACCATGCTGAGAGGACTCCCCGAGCGTCCTGTGACAGCTCCATCAGAACCAACTTCGCTCAGAACGTTTCAGCAACTTTCACGAAGCTCCCTTTTACAACGATCTTACCGCTTATCTACACCTCTCGATATTAAGCGCTTATTTATAAAAACCAGATTCGGCCTGGAGGACCCCTTCCTTCATCTTGAGCTTGAGGAATGGCAAAAGCTCCCCTCTGATAGCCTGCCACCTGGATCACGTCAAGCCGAATCTCGGCTCCATGACCTAGTCTGCCATCACTCCCTATAACCACACCATTGGGGCATTTGTGAGCAATTCCCAGATATGTCACTGGCTTATCCAAAGGGAAAACGCTCAATATTTTGAGTCCTTACCATGCTGCAGGGAATTGCACAAGACAGTTGTTAAGGATACCAACATTATCGTGGCCATCTGGTAACCAGTGGGAGACAAATGAGTAAGGACAGAACAAATGATGGAATATAACCAGTACCAGCGGAAGGTGTGCATGTGACCTTCTCAGATAGGAGGCCAATACCCAGATGTATCTCTAATTATGTTCACTTAGTTCCTCCGGCTGGAGGCTTCTCCGAGAATGGAGATGTTTCGCTGCTTTCAAGAGGACATCTTTTAACAGTTTACGTTTCTTAGATGCCTGCCTGGTCTGTGGGCAGCCACTTTGTCAGCTGGCGTATTTAATTACAAGGAAATATATTTATATTGAACGCAAGTCCCCAGATGAAGTTCAGTTTTTAAATGCTGATATACATCCCAAGACATTTCGGGTTGAGATTTTTACTGCAGACCAAGACACGAGTTGACACTTTGGGTTCAAATCTGTGCTTTCTGGAGAGTTAAAGCACAAAAGGTTTGACTGGAAATATTCACCAAACATCATCATTAGAGTATCTCAGTCCTATTCAAAGAAGCAGCCCCTGAATGTGTCAATGGTATTATTATCCTCTACTTGTCCAAGACATCGTGGATGAGGGGGAGAGGCATAACCACGAACCCCCAGGACCTGTACTGGCAGCTCAGCACCTAAGACCATCTCCTGCAAAGAGTAAATACTGTGCACATCTGCACACAGCTCCCAAAAGTCTATCTTGCTTGTGCTATTGGCTTTCTGTACTGGGGGGAGCGCTGCGCTAGTATCTCCAAGTTCTTGAAATGAGATGGGGGAAGTCCTGCTTTTCAGGTTGAATGACAGCAAAAGAATGGAGGCTTCAGAGTTCGTTTTCTTGGAAAAGGTGTAACCTGGATTCTTGGGAGCTTTTCACTTTCTTCTCATCCCCTCATTCTCCTCCCCTCATTCTCCTCCCCTCATTTTTCTCCAACCATTTTTCATGATAATACCATCTCTAACCTCTTAGTTCTCTGTTCTAGATCCAGTCAGCTCCCTGGCCTCTTTGGTGCTTAGAAATGATGTGGGTTTTTTGTTTGTTGTTTGGTGGGTTTTTGTTTTTGTTTTCTCTTCACACCCCCCCCCCCCCCAGCTCAAAAAGCTTATCCTTCTTTCTTCATGCAGTTCCCAAAACACAGGCCAAGCCAGGAATCCACTTTTAGTTGGAAGAAAAACCAGCAAGTTCGCTCTAGTCCATGTCCTGGAAATGTGTCCTATGATGGAGATAGTATCACTCAGAGCAATCCCGGGCCTGCCCGCCCTGGGATCACATAGGGCTACTGGGAAAAGGCAGACTCCAGGGGCCCATCCACAACCACTAACTCAGAATCTCTAAAGTTGGGGCCCAGGAATTTACATTTTTAATAAGCTTCTAGGTAACTCATGCACATTAACCTTTGAAACCACTACCTCTGAGTCAGAGTTTAGCCTCTTGCACAGACTTATAGTAATTTATTGAGTTTGGGTTTTGCTATCTCTCTCTCTCTCTGTATGTATGTGTGTGTGCGCACGTGCACGCACACACACACACACACACACACACACACACACACACACAGATCTTCCTCCACTTTTGATGGTCTTATGTCCTGACCACCCCTTGACAGTTGAAAATATCCTCAGTTGCAAATGCATTGAATACATCTAACCTACCAAACACTGTAGCTTAGCCTAGCCCACCTTAAATGTACTCAGAACACTTCCATGGGGCAAAATCATCTAACACAAAGCCTATTTTATAATAAAGCATTGAATATCTCGTGTGATTTATTGACTTCTATCCTGAAAGTGAAAAGCAGGATGGTTGCATGGGCTCAGGATGGTTGTGTGTTGGACGTTCATCCTAGTGAGTGCATGGCCGCCTGGGAGCTGCGGCTGGTCGCGGATGGCCAGCACCACAATGTGATCGAGCCACACAAATCACCAGCCTGGGAAAAGATCCAAATTCACAACTCAACGTACACTTCCTACTGAACGCATATCACTTTTACACCATTGTAAAGTCAAAAATTGTTACGTTGAAACATCACAAGTTGGGGTTCCTGAGTATATATATATATACTTATAACCTGTTTTCAGGTATATGCTTCTAGCCAAAGCCCCCCCCCCAACCCCCGTACACAGAACAGAATCTAGGACCAAATTCTTTTCTCCATGCCACTCTCCCGGGATTGTTGCCGGTAGCACAGAAGACAGCAAATGAAAAAAGACTTCATAACCAAAAATAAGAGGGACAGATGGACTGTTGGTTTAGAAATACTACCATAATTTCCGGTACTGATAGGAAAACAAAAAATTTACACAGGTCTTTCACAAAACATAGCTCTTTTGCTCTTCACAACAACCCTATTCGTAGGATTACTGCTCGTGAATATCCCCCAGTTCGGAGGTGAGATAACAGGTTCATACACCCAAGTGACTAGTCCGGGCTCTCAAGAAAGCAGAAAGTGATGGATGTGACACTATCACCCAGTCTTTTAATTGCAAGTTTGATGGGCTTTTCCTTATGACAAAAATGTCACAAATACGAATAACAACATTATTATGATCATTAAGGTAATACTTTGATTTCTCTTCCTACATGGGTGTGGTTGAAAGAAAACCTTTGTTTATTTGACCTTAATTAAGGTACAGTCCTGGGGATGAGGGTGACGGCCTTTGGTCACGGAAAATACGAAACTTCTGTGTCATCACGAACTGCACAATTCAGCCAGTTATAGGTCAGAATTCCACTCCGGTTAAGTTAGCTTGTTGTGATTTTGGAAAACTGCAATTCACACTGCCATGATTTCACAGTAGGGTCACATATTTTATGCACAGTGGTCCTCCCCTTACCAGAGGTTTTGCTTTCTGCCGTCTGTGGTCAGCAGCGGCCTGGAAGCAGACAACCCTCCTCCCGACACATCACCAGAAGGTCAGTAGTAGCCTAACGTTATATCACAGTGCCTATGTCATTCGTCGCACTTCCTCTCACCACTCAGGCATTTTATCATCTCAAGTCACAGGGAGAAGGGTGAGTACAGTGCAATAAGGTATTTTGAGAGAGAGAGACTACTTTAGTGTCCAGTTTTACTGTTAGTTATTGTTATTAATCTCTTACTGTGTCTAACTGATAAATTAGACATTTTCTTAGGTTGTATGATTAGGAAAAAACAGGATCGATAGGGTTTGATGTGATCTGTAGTGTCAGGCAACTGCTGGGAGTCTCAGCATGTACCCCCCATGGATGGGGGGTACTACATATATCTCCTTTCTACTTTCTACCCACATAATAGGAAATGAAGCCAACTTTAGGTTGTGCAAGCCCAGAAACCCTGTGCCTTCTGAACCTCTCCCATACTAAGAGGCTAGAAGCCCAGTTGGGACCTGGTTTAATGTGGCGATGTTTAATAATACCAAAACAAAAATTATGATAATTTTGTTCCTTATGAAAGGAACCCTCCATTTGGACCAGAATTTTGGCATTGTTTAGACAGAGGCAAATTTCCAACCTTACAATTAGACATGCCCAGAGGAATTGCCTTTAATATTTACAGGAGGAAAAAAAAAAAAGAAACTCCCCAAAAAGCAGACAAAGCCCATGAGACTCTCAGGACTGCTAA